CTCATCTTTAGGATTTTTCTTTTTCTTTCTTTTTTTTTTTGAACCAGGGATTGAACTCAGACCCTTGCACTTGCCAAGGAAGCACTTATTCCACTGAGCCATCTCCTGAGCCCCCTAATTTTCAGGATTTTTAAAACATACAATTAATTATTACTAAATGTAGTTTCCAGGACTGGGGAGATGGCTCAGTGGAATAAGCAATTCCCTGGCAAGCACAAAGGCCTGAGTTCAATCCCCGGTTCTGCCAAAAACCAAATCAATGTAGCTTCTATTCAGTGGGAGAGATCACTAGACATGTTTTCTTCTTCCTGTCTGGCTGCAATATTGTAACTTGATCATAACCTCTCTTTCCTTATTCACTGCATTCTCCAGCTTTTAAGTATCACAATTTTATTCTATATTTCTCACATTCAACACTTTTGGATTTCAGACATACTTAAAAAAAGATCAACATCGCTAATTATCAGGAAAACACAAATCAAAACCACAATGAGATACTCTCCTTACTCCTACTAGGATAGAGATTATCAGAAAGAGGAATAACCACAAATATTACTGAGGATGTGGAGAGAAAAAAAAACCACCTTGGGTATTATTGGTGGGTGCGGAAATTATTGCTGTTATGTGGAAAAGAGAGTGGCACTTCCTCAAAAGCTGAAAGGGAAGAAACCATAATATCCTTCAAACCTGACTCTGAACCAAGTACCCAGATTTGGAAACAAGGTTTCCAAGAGATCTCTACAACGCCAAGACCATTCACTGCAGCATTTTCACAGCAGCTGCGATGTGAAAAGAAAGCAAATATCCATCGATTAAGTAAAGAAAATGAAGCACATAGATGCATATATGTGCAGTCATACAATAAAATTTGGCCTTTGTGTCATTTGTGACAAACATGCAGGACTTCGAAGACATTCTGCTCGTAGCATAAACCAGTATACAGTTTTAAAAGCAGTCCACAATTTCATTAGCTTTGCAATTCTTCAGTCAAACTAAATAACATGATGGTGCATTTGTCATTTTCTAATTAGTAAATAGAAATAAATATGCCTGTAGTTAAGATTGATTAAAGTTTCTAAGTAATATATCAAAGAAAATACTAAACATAACTGGATTATAGATCTATTATTGATGAGGATAATCAATAATAGAAACAATGATATGTTGTCTTTATGTTGATATCCTTAATACAAGTTGCATTTTAATTATTTAATTAGCAATGTTTTCTTTATATCTTTACTTATCTGCATGGGTTTATTTGTGTGGCTCACATGTGTATGTGTTTGCTAAATTTCAAGTGGCTGGAGTGTTTTGTTTTCATTTTATTACTATAAATATCAGTAGTAGGAGACAGCATGACAAGGAGGTGCGGTCATTACTTCACAAAGGCAGGA